TTTAAATACCTCCCCTGTCCTGGAAGGCCTGTGAAGGCAGCAACACCAGCAGTGACAGAAGTGATCGACCGGCGTCCTATTGCTAGACATTTTCTAGAAGAGATACATTCCTTTGTCACAGAAACTTTGGGAAAGACGAACCCATCAACTAGGTCTGCTCCAAATCTTCTCATAACAATGTGATTATGAAAACAAAAGTGTCCAAGCCCTTTCCATATTCATAAGAAATCTCTGCCAAAGATTTACGATTCCGACTACATCAAATAGTGATGATACCAATAGTGATGATACCAGGTGTTCGCGAAAAAGTTAGCGTATCCTGCCCCACCGATGGCACCCGTCACATGCAAAGGCAAGTCAATTATTCACCTGAACGCGAACAGATGGTACAAGTCAAAATAGGGAATTGCATCGGACATAATTTTTGTCACTGATGTGTCAAATGTCCTCCTTATGTCTACCTTAAAACATTTTAAAAGCTTTACTGGGGCCTTTAACGTTTTAACCTTGATCAAACAACTTCTGAGCAAGAGTTTTGTGACGCTCTTGGAATCTTGGTAGAAAGACCATGCTCGAATTTATCTCAAAACTTGTGAAAAGTAGACACCAAGGGCTGGAGCTGCTGGAACCTTGCCCGACATAAAGGGAAAGTTGAAATCATCCCTCTTATCATCCAGTCTTGTAGAGAGCGTTTTGTCACTTAATCTTTATGCATAGATCAAAATGTGAAACAGATAAAGCGGTCACTGGTCTCCTTTATTTCTAGTTTAGGTGGGTAAATCAGTGGAAGGGAATTGGATATTTGATTGTTATTGAACGATATCAGATCACATATATACCTGAAGTTAAAATCTTGGCCATATTATCTTGATTTGACTTTGCCAGTCCTATCAGACATTCTGATTCATATGCATAAAGAAACAGATTAGCAAGAAGGGGAAAGCAATTGGTGCATATGGGGATACCTACTACTTGCCTAAGTGTCTTACACTCAAATTTTAGATTGATTTTATCAATGAGAAAGTCCAGCATTTCACATATTGCTTTCTCAGTAAATTTCAGATGGCATTTGCTTTCATTTTTGACAAATTGACCTGAACCTCATTGTCCCGATCTGGCTCCTCCAGTCTTCCATCTGTCCAAGACACGAAGAAAGCTCTATCCGGAACCCATTTCGACTCGAACGATGGCGTGAAAGCAGCTGTGGAGACAGCCAAGAGATAAAAACATCGTTGGCCAAATAGTGTCAGTATGGAAGGAGATTAAGATGAAATAGCTCATTTTAATTTCTTCGGGTCAAGTGTTTCTCTGTGAAGCTTAAAGCATTCCATTCACCCCTCGTGTAATGGTGCTTCTAACCCTGTGCCTGATTCCAGACTGCGAAGCAAAATAGGTTCCCTTGACTTATACTGATTATTGTGATAACAATGTGTGTTATTTGTTCGTGTGTTTGTTTGTTTGTTTGTTGTTTAACGCCGCACTCAGCAATAGTCTAGCTATATGACGGCAGTCTGTAAATAATCGAGTCTGGACCAGTGATTGACATTATGAGCATCGATCCACGCAATTGGGATACGATGTCATGCATCAACCAATTCAGCGAGCCTGACCACCCGATCCCGTTAGTCGCCTCTTACGACAAGCAGAGTCACCTTTTTACGGCAAGCATGGGTTCCTGAAGACCTATTCTACCCCGGGTCTTCACAGGTCACAACGTGTGTTAAGTAGGATTGAGTTTCATAGTACTTCGTAGATGTGGGTCGTTACTGATATATCCAGATGCTGGTTTGTCTTTTTCATGTTCTAGTGTTTACAGGTCACTGTGATATACGCTATTATTAATCGTAACCTTGACAATGTCATGTTATTATATCGTTTACGCTCACTAGACCAGTTTCAACCAGCACATTGCAGAATGGACCGGTTGTTAAACAACCCGTGTGTGACAAACCCCGTATAAAGGCACGGGTTCGACAGTGTCTCGCTGGATGAAGAGTATGATCAGGCGATAAAACATTTTTTGAACAGCTGCAGATTTGATGTTTTGTAAACATTACAAGCGCCTGCCGGGGAGCTTGGTGGTTCGATCACACTAGAAGACGTTGAAAGATGGAACTCCTTGTTATCCTGCCTGGCACACGACATTAAGGGTATAGAACAAGGTCTAGCCAACTCGGAGTCAGTATAATGAAGACTCTGGGTGCTCAGTCAATGGGTGAGCATTTCCGAAAGGGCCAAGGTCATTTAGTAGAGAGTGGTGAAGTTGGTTTGAGCTAGCACCGTGTTACAGCTGCACTGACAACGTGTCAGCTTCATGGGAAAGGAAAGGCTAACGTTCTGCAGGTCATATAGAGCACCAAGGATGATATCTAGAACGAATGTTGGATTCGAACCCACGATCCCGGCACGGCTAAGTGATGTAGTTAACGTATGAAAATATGGAACGTATATATTGGTTTTAGCCTACCATGTCAAGAGACATGAACGTCATATATAACATATCGTCGCATTTAAAAACTTTCTAGAAAGGTAAACACTCATTTCATACACAGAACAGATAATTGCGTGAAAAAAGATCACTCTCGAGTTTGGTGCGGCGGTGTCCTCAATTCGCGTATTAACGCGGGTGTGAAGCGAAACAAATAACTTCTCAGTATAAAAGGGAGCACAGCTAGTCATTTCTTACAATGCCTGCGTTGTTAAGCAAATGCTGTACGACAATGCAGACGGTTGACAAGCATATACAAAGACGTCTATTTATGTAATCATTTCCCGGAGAATGATAGAAATGTTTACATGAATCATGAAACATGGTGACATGTGTTATCCTTATGTCATATTCGACTTTGACTTTATCCAACATCGTTTCATCCGATATTTTAATTTTATGTATTTACGTTTTCTTTGACTTTATATCTTCGTTTTAGGTCCATCTTTATCGTATTCTTGTCTCGGTCTATGTCCGTCTTTGTCATATTCTTGTCGCTGACTATGTCTATCTTTATCATATTCTTGTCTCTGTCTATGTCCATCTTTGTCATATTCTTCTCTCTGACAATGCCCATCTTTTTCATATTCTTGAACGGGGCGGTCGGGTAGCCTAGTGGTTAAAGCGTTCGCTCGTCACGCCGAAGACCCGGCTTCGATTCTCGACATGGGTACAATGTGTGAAGCCCATTTCTGGTGTACCCCGCCGTGATATTGCTGGAATATTGCTAAAGGCGGCGTAAAACCATACTCACTCACTCATATTCTTGAATCTCAATATGTCCATCTTTGTCATATTCTTGTCCTTGACAATGTCCATCTTTGTCATATTCCTGTCTCTAACAATGTCCATCTTTGTCATATTCTTGTCCTTGCAATGTCTATCTTTGTCATATTCTTGTCCTTGACAATGTCCATCTTTGTCATATTCATGTCTCTAACAATGTCCATCTTTGTCACATTCTTGTCCTTGGCAATGTCCATCTTTGTCATATTCTTGTCCTTGACAATGTCCATCTTTGTCATATTCATGTCTCTAACAATGTCCATCTTTGTCACATTCTTGTCCTTGGCAATGTCCATCTTTGTCATATTCCTGTCTCTAACAATATCCATCTTTGTCATATTCATGTCTCTATAACAATGTCCATCTTTGTCTTTTTCGATCTTTGATTTTGTCCATTTTGTCATATTTGACCCTTAATTTATGTCCAGCCTCGTTATCTTTGATCACAACCAGCTTCGTAACATCCGATTTGTCACAATATACGGAATCGTTATATCCAGGGTCGAAATATGTCATATTCCCTGCGTACTTCGGGATATCACAAGCTGCCTATGGTGTAAGGCATTGTTGCTGGTATAAAAAGTCTCTGACTGTGACTACAGACGTGAGTAACATAACGATTTATATTTCTGAAATTCCTATTCTTTGTAAATGTAGACCTCATTTCATGCTGAAGACATCCACATTTCAAGGATTGTGGCCTTTCTGTGTACAGTGAAGCCTTCTTAATCCGGAAACCTCGCCTGCCTGGCGATTAACGATGGGGACGATAATTTGTTTTCATGGGCATGTGCTACGTTTTTATGGTTAGTTGAGGTGAGGTGAAATGCTTTTATGGCCATGCGCATGTGTGTATGCGTGTGCGTGTGCGTGCGTGCGTGCGTGCGTGCGTGCGTGCGTGTGTGTGTGTGTGTGTCTGTCTGTGTCAGAGTGTATCTGTGTGTGTCGTGTGTGTGTGTGTCTGTGTCTGCTTGTACAAGTCCATACTAATGTCGGTTTAGCAGCGCTCGCCCACTGAGACACCATACCACATACACAGTATACTACGAACCAGTACTTGATTTATCCCCTAAATACCGAGTCAGGCAGGGTAACAACAAGTACCAACTTCTAAGCGGCAGGGATCGAACCACCGACCTTCCGTTTACCCGGAAAGACGCTCAATCCACTAAACTACCAAGACGACCAAGGCGGAAACTCTATCCACTACACCGCGGAAGCTGTCCTACGTATTTATGATCAGTTAATTCTGAAATTTGAAAAACCCGGACGGTTTCTCCAGGGCCCCGTTCCACAAAGCGATTTTAGTGCTAAGTTGGTCGTAAGTCTATGATAAATAGCACAAGGCCCAGGAACGGCACCCTCTGGTTAAGAGGAGTGTAAGTGTAAGTAGACACTACTGGCAGTAACCGTCCAGAACGCGAGGTTTTATCAGTGTTAAGGTCCCGGATACACAAACATGCAGTTATTATAGTCGCCCATTCAGCCGTAATTGGTGTGGTATGTATGATTATAATACAGCGTTCGAGATAACCAGGCTTTATCTAACATTATGAGGACAGTGGCCCAAGGGTCTGAGGCTCACACATCGCTGTGCAGAGTTGCGTCCCTAACTCGAACCAGGATCCGCTTATTGCGGGTTCGATTTCCAAAAATATTGGAACAGAAATAAAATGTAATCATTATCCTTGAATGCAAAATATGAAAATAAATACAAAACACAGAGTAAACTTTCATTGTATTTATTGATTACACACTTTATAAAAAAAATGTATATTCATAACATACCTTGTACAAAACAAAAAATAAACAAAGCTCCATATATGTTGCACATACATACATACATCCAAATACTTCAAATGATACAATCTATTTTGATTTTCGATAACTTTGGAAGAAATTCGGATTTTGTAGGCAAGTGCCGGTATGTTTAATAACAATGTGCTTTTAACCACTTCACAGCTCAGAAAGCCTTATCACAGCTAGGCTTTAACAATAACAAATCAATAAAACATTTCGGAGAAGTGATAAATCATGAAGCATGACAAGGAGATTCATTTCAAGTTTTGATTTCCGCAACGAACTCAAAAAGGGTTGTTAAAGGATATGCTTTATGACAGGAAACCTCAAGTGATTCAAGGGTCAAAAAAAAAATAATCCCAAACATTGTCTCAGATATCCATCTACTTAGGCCCATGTCCTGGTTTCCCTGTAAAGACTCAGCCACTCAATGTGTTTTAGGAAGTATGTTCATTTCACATTTTCCTATTTTTTATCAGTGGAATAGTATCTTCAGTGCGACTAGAAATGTATTGCATCTTATGCATCGCATTTGTCCTCGATATAATGCGCAAGGTGGAGATAATTTGATTACTTGCTCGTCTAAATTGATGAGTATTTTTAGTTTTGATTTTGTGGCTTCAGATTTTCATTTTCCTGTTAATGGTGAAACCGTAGTCTATGTTATTAACATCTAGACGAACCGTTTTCTATTCAATCCGGTTTTGAACTACACACAGAACAGAACCAGAATAGATTATTACATTAAGCATGCTAACAATCTGGTTTGAAAGAGCAAAAATGTTCACACTCATATTACATCTCAGAACGAAAATTCTCCTTTGTAATAGAAATAAAAAATATACATTCACATATGCTCATCTCCTTACATTCTCAAACTGCGTTTAACAATATGATATATGTGTAATGAGTGCAGTGGTTTCTACTTTCAACTCCGATATCACACACAGATTACACATATGAAACAGTATTCAACAATGGTGTCCTATTGCTGTCAGCATTTACCTAATTAGCGTAATAATATTACAGTGAAGCCACTCACAAATAAGAGTGAGTGAGTTGGGTTTAACGCCGCTTTTAACAGTATTCCAGTCATATCACGGCGTGTCAGCTTAATGTGGGAGGAAAGGCCGAAGTGATGCAGGTCTCAGACGTTTCACAAATAAGAAGCAGAATTACCTAGTGTCAGTTAACATTGGTGCTACCATCACCCATTCTACATAGTGGAGCAAAACGTGATAAACAGCTCAGGAACACAATGCTAGTTGAAATTGTCCCTCCTTGTTGGCATTGAATGTGATACCTCGGGAGATTCCGTCCTCACGAAGAGGTGCAAAGGTGATGAAGCGATGTTCAAAGTTATCTGAAAATGTGAATAAACACTGATGCCGCCATCACACACTCTACACTCTCGAACAGGATTGATACAGTTCAGCAAAGGAAAGGAGTGTTCATATTGGAGGACTGTTGTACGGCTGCACTATCTGCAAGAACCAACACGTTGTTATTGTTCATGTAATCCTGCTTGACGCTGAAGTCACAGCATGGGCCAGATATGGACACCGTGTGCCCAACAGGACATGCAGGTGAGTATGGAGGTGGCAACTGAGTGCCATGAACACCGTCAGGATAGAAGAACTGGTTGGAATCGTCGTATGGGATAGCACAGAACTGGTTCAAATTGTCCATTTGCAGCTTGAACTGGAGGTTTCCCTCAATTGGGGAACAGCTTGGTTGGAACACATCTTCTTCACTGTCAGAGTCCAGCGAGAGGGGAGGTGCAGAGGGCATCACCGGAGAATCAGCACAGTCCGTTACAGAAGGAACTGCAAGGGTTCTGTAGCTCCTGCAAATGTCGTTGCACTCGTGGCTGGAAAGAACCTTTCTTATGTTGTGCTCTTTGTAATAAACACCTGGGCACGACAGTACATATCCCCTCTTTGACTTCGCCCCACGTAGCTTGCTCACAATGAGTTCTCCATTTGTTTCATGAAACGTGAAATGAACGAATGCGTCTAAAACATCATCAGAACAACGGCTTTCGCCTTGTTTCGTTACAAACATTTTCAGACAGTCGATCTTCTCATGCACCAAAACCCATTCATCTCTGCTCAGCAACCTTCTTCTCCCCTTCAGATTATGAAAGGCGGCTTTTTTGTCAATGATAGCTTTCTGGGGAACAATGACTCTTATTTTAAGCATGCTCTTTCCCAGACTCTGGTTGAACTTCTCTGCCAAATTCTGGATTGTCTGGTACATGTCAATGATGTCATCGCAGTCCTCTTCCTCGAAGTATTCGTCTCTGCATACTTTTATGCAAAGCGTTGTCATCTCGCCATTGACACCACATGTATACCCCTTGTAGACCTTCCATCTGTCGGACTTTCGCCATGAACAATCACGGAAATGAAGAGCCTTGCAACTGTTCTTGCGCCCCAAAGCGGCACGGTTTTCGACAAATGATGACATTCTTATACATCTGCAAAAGATAATGTATAATTAAAATTAGTATTATTTTTTTCAAACATCCAAAGATGTTTTCAGTGACGCCGAACCATTCAAAACAATCTAAAGAATTTTATTTCCTGAAAGTTCTGTTCATTTTCATACTTCCAAATAATAAAGGAATTAAAAGTTTGATGTCATTAAATCATTTACAATTAAGAAACGGAAAAAATTATTTGAATTCAACCTAAACTGTACATTTTATAAAAATTAAATGAAACAACATAACAAAAAAATATATAAGAACGTAAAAAAATGAATAATTATACCAGCCAATCTAATAAACAAAAACTATGTAAGGTTGAAATAAGCAATTGTGTGCGAGTGTGCCCCGACTGCTGTACTGGTATTTTGAACAAAGGATATCTGTCACGTTATTTTATACTGAATAGATGTTTGACCTACCCATAGTCTTTCACAAGGTAGCATAAAATTAAACAGTAAAACCTACCTGCGGCGATAGTCGACCAAAGAAGCAGCGAGTGCAACCTGACGATGGTAGAAGCTTGAGGACTGCTCGCATTGGAGGCTTGCTCGCGTGTTTATACTCCCGCCGCGTCACGAGTGACTGCCTGTCAACACGGAACAAGACTGGTCATATCATATACAGCAACACGTTACTGGGTTTTCCTCTCCTCAGATAACGTGTACTTATTTTAGCCTGGCAAAGCCAACTCAGAAATCGGACATATTACATGTTGAGAACACATCATGTTTAAGGCAAAGAATGACGTGTGATTGGGGCGGGCGAAAGGGGTTTAACATCAGGCTAAAGATTATTGCACTTACAGCGACGTGCATTGTGTGTGTGTGTGTGTGTGTGTGTGTGTGTGTGTGTGTGTGTGTGTGTGTGTGTGTGTGTGTGTGTGTCTGTGTGTGTCTGTCTGTGTGTGTGTCTGTGTGTGTGTCTGTGTCTGTCTGTCTGTTTGTGTGTCTATGTCTCTGTGTGTGTCTCTGTCTGTGTGTGTGTCTGTCTGTCTGTCTATGTGTGCCTGTCTGTCTGTGTGGCTATGTCTCTGTGTGTGCCTGCTTGTACTAGTCCAGACTAATGTAGGTTTTATAGAGCCTGCTCGCTGAGACACCATGCAGCAGTTTAACATGAATACCCCACTCAGACACAGACACGACCCCTTGTGTCATGCCCTTAATGCCGAGCAATAATCAGGGGCACAGTCAACACATACAATCCTTCAACGTCTTATGGTATGACGCGGCCGGGGATCGAACCCCGCTCTATTCACTTCAGTACAGAGGAGGTCGACATTTCATCCTGAACTGAAGTAATTCAAAAGTGTTTAAGAGTATCTATTTCGTTGCTTCTTTTTGTGTATGTCATTGTATTTGGGCCAAAGTACACAAGCGAGTGTTGTTCGTTGAGAAATAGCGGAACGCTCAAATGATATGTGTTTTCATGAACATAACATGACAACCTTTTACGCTTTTCGTAATAATCCCACAGTGGATACGTAACTCAGAAACAAGGTTATTTCTGAATTTTAATGTAAGGCCCTGTGCTCCTTTGGCATATCCGTATCGCGGGAGCCCCATAATGCAGTTGTCGTACGGTTTCCTTCCAAACCCAGTGGGTTTTATTTAATGTAATCAGAGTGTTCTGTTCAGTGGGCTCTGTGGAATGCAAGATTTGAGATAGACAGGACCGTACTTGCATAGGTGTGCGTTATCGTGTTTTCAAGTACTGACTGATCACTGCACTGGTTGGAAACAAGATCATTCATCACGATATACTAACACATTTTGATACTGAGGGACCGAGCATATAAGTGTGAGATATTGTAGGATTTATTTTCAGAATATTTTTGCAAGACTTCCAGTGAAATATTCTGAACTGAATATTTTCGTGTCTTTTGTATTATCAAACGAGAACACTCCGTTAGTGTGGAAACCGCCATTCCGGACAATTCCTTTTAGGAATGTCTTTGTATGTTCAAATGACACTGCTCCATAACAGTGATCGTTGTAGACATTTACACGAGGTACATTTCCGCCAAGATTAATAAGAGTTTGTTGGAATCACTTTTTGACCATAATATATTGAATCAGATGATTATTTTTAACCTCAACTTTAACAAGCTCTAGCCCTACCACGACGGTCCACGATTATTTCTCTAAATTAACTCGGCTCACATTTTATTAGATGATATTATTGAGGAAAATATATCTGGATATAATAAGCTTCCGGTTGTAATTGCACTGCAATATTTAGGTGCATGTCGTTACTATGGTTACCACAGATACCATTTCAAACAACAGCGGTACATAGATACCACCTGTTTGTATTTGTATATTTAACTGTTTACTTGCATGCAAATGTAAGATTAGTATCGGTCATAGTTACCATAGCAGCGACGAAGGAAAGAACATGCTATAACACGACTACTGGAACTGTCTGGAAGAGATTGAATTAACCCTTACTCATTAAATACCACGACCTTCGACTCGACTCGACTAACTCACTCACTCACTCACTCACTCACTCACAACCGATATTTAAGACTGGGGCGTAAAACAACATTCACCCATTCACTCACTCACTCAAAACCGATATTGGTGACCGGGGCGTAAAACAACACTCACTCACTCACTCACAACCGATATTTGTGACTGGGACGTAAAACAACACTCACTCACTCACTCACAACCGATATTGGTGACCGGGGCGTAAAACACAACACTCACTCACTCACTCACAACCGATATTGGTGACCGGGCGTAAAACAACACTCACTCACTCACTCACAACCGATATTGGTGACCGGGGCGTAAAACACAACACTCACTCACTCACTCACAACCGATATTGGTGACCGGGCGTAAAACAACACTCACTCACTCACTCGCAACCGATATTGGTGACCGGGGCGTAAAACAAAACACTCACTCACTCACTCACAACCGATATTTGTGACTGGGACGTAAAACAACACTCACTCACTCACTCACAACCGATATTGGTGACCGGGGCGTAAAACAAAACACTCACTCACTCACTCACAACCGATATTTGTGACTGGGACGTAAAACAACACTCACTCACTCACTCACAACCGATATTGGTGACCGGGGCGTAAAACACAACACTCACTCACTCACTCACAACCGATATTGGTGACCGGGCGTAAAACAACACTCACTCACTCACTCGCAACCGATATTGGTGACCGGGGCGTAAAACAAAACACTCACTCACTCACTCACAACCGATATTTGTGACTGGGACGTAAAACAACACTCACTCACTCACTCACAACCGATATTGGTGACCGGGGCGTAAAACACAACACTCACTCACTCACTCACAACCGATATTGGTGACCGGGCGTAAAACAACACTCACTCACTCACTCACAACCGATATTTGTGACTGGGACGTAAAACAACACTCACTCACTCACTCACAACCGATATTTGTGACTGGGGCGAAACACAACACTCACTCACTCACTCACAACCGATATTGGTGACCGGGGCGTAAAACAACACTCACTCACTAACTCACAACCGATAATTGTAACTTGGGCGAAACACAACACTCACTCATTCACTCACAACCGATATTGGTGACTGGAGCGTAAAACAACACTCACTCACTCACTCACTCACAACCAATATTTGTGACTGGGGCGAAACACAACACTCACTCATTCACTCACAACCGATATTGGTGACTTGGACGTAAAACAACACTCACTCACTCACTCACAACCGATATTGGTGACCGAAGCGTAAAACAACACTCACTCACAACCGATATTGGTTACTGGGACGTAAAACAACACTCACTCACTCACTCACAACCGATATTGGTGACGGGGGCGTAAAACAACACTCACTCACAACCGATATTGGTGACCGAAGCGTAAAACAACACTCACTCACAACCGATATTGGTTACTGGGACGTAAAACAACACTCACTCACTCACTCACTCACAACCGATATTGGTTACTGGGACGTAAAACAACACTCACTCACTCACTCACAACCGATATTGGTGACGGGGGCGAAACACAACACTCACTCACTCACTCACAACCGATATTGATGACTGGGACGTAAAACAACACTCACTCAAAACCGATATTAGTGACGGGGGCGTTAAACAACACTCACTCACTCACTCACTCACAACCGATATTGGTGACGGGGGCGTAAAACAACACTCACTCAAAACCGATATTAGTGACGGGGGCGTTAAACAACACTCACTCACTCACTCACTCACAACCGATATTGGTGACTGGGACGTAAAACAACACTCACTCACTCACTCACAACCGATATTGATGACTGGGACGTAAAACAACACTCACTCACTCACTCACAACCGATATTGGTGACTGGGACGTAAAACAACACTCACTCACTCACTCACAACCGATATTGGTGACCGAAGCGTAAAACAACACTCACTCACAACCGATATTGGTTACTGGGACGTAAAACAACACTCACTCACTCACTCACAACCGATATTGGTTACTGGGACGTAAAACAACACTCACTCACTCACTCACAACCGATATTGGTGACCGGGGCGTAAAACAACACTCACTCACTAACTCACAACCGATAATTGTAACTGGGGCGAAACACAACACTCACTCATTCACTCACAACCGATATTGGTGACTGGAGCGTAAAACAACACTCACTCACTCACAACCAATATTTGTGACTGGGGCGAAACACAACACTCACTCATTCACTCACAACCGATATTGGTGACTTGGACGTAAAACAACACTCACTCACTCACTCACAACCGATATTTGTGACTGGGACGTAAAACAACACTCACTCACACCCTTATATTTCGACAGGTAATATATGCACCCAATGCTACGGACTCCCCAGCTCTTTTTTCAAATAGAAAGTAACATTCTGTCAAAACATATATTATTCTAAATATAGTTAATTACTCTGAATACGAACCAGAGCACCAGTGAACATCCTTGTACGATCATAACGATCACAAATATCAAACTCGCAAGGTTACTTAGCAGTAAAATGGTTAAAGTAAACTGTTCTAAATTTAATTACTTGTCGATGATAAGAACATAAATCAGGATGGCGACACGTCACAACAAGCCCCCAACTGGCATTATTGTCATCATTGTTATGTGTGTATGGCATCGGGAACAAAGACGCCATTGGCCCTTTTCGGGTCGTCAAGTCGTTACCTTGCATTTTGTTTATACAGTAACAACTAACAACGCTATTCACGGCGATACAGTGACGAGTGTCAATTCGGGTAATCGTTGTCACAAAGTCTGTAATTTTCCATAGGAGGGTGTGAGTTTCAATGTATATAATACGCCGCAAAACGACAGGTGTTCATCTCAAGCCGAGCGTGGAAAAAATAGGGCCCCCTGTGTCAATCTTTAGATGGTGAAATTTACCGTGAAAGAAGAATTACCTGTTGGTGTGTACATCTTAACTTTTAACCTATACGTACATGCATATATATCAGTTGCAGAAATTCTAGTCTGTTATATTCAACAGAAATGCTTTTTGCACAATAGCTGTATATTTTCTCAACATATGGATAATGTATTTAACGTAGCAAATGA